CCCCCCCCCGGGGGACGCTGCCCGGCTCAGGCCGGGGGGCCTGACCTGTCGTCAGGGAGCGAGAGGCGGTGGTGGAGGAGGTGCGGGGTGGCCGCGCGGCCGTCGGGGGAACACGGAGGAGGCGAAGGCGTTGATGGCGGCGGCGGCGATGGCGGCGGCGGCGACTCTGATGGCGGCGGCGGGGGGGGTCCCGGGCGCGGCCTCCATCGTTCCTTTGAGGGGGAGGGGATGTTAATGCACGAAAAAGGACTGCTTGGGCGTGGCGGGAGGGGCACACTTCAGCTCTCCAAAGCTCCTGGTGGGAATTGGGCATCTATCTATCTATCTCTTTCTATAGATATATATAGATATATATAGGCTTTTTTTTCGGTTTCGGAATCACCTCTGAGCCGACTTCTACGTAGGCCGCGCGGCCTAGGCCCCGGCGAGGCCACTCGCCGCCTTTCTCCGCAGCCCGCCCCTGCGATCACTCGCTCACGGGCACGGGACCCTCATCGGGGCGAGAGGTCCCCTTCCGATACACACACGCACACACACACATACGGGCCCCCCGAGGCCAGAGACCCGGGGGACACGGACACTGGTGGGTGGTTGGGTGTAATTAGCGCGGGTCGCGCGCAACGGAGCAAGCGAAGGGGAAGGGGGAAAGAGGAGAGCGAGCAAGGGGATGGCAAAAAAAAAAAAAATTAGGGAGAAGAGGGAACGGGCTGCGGAGATGGGCCGACTGTCTGCCCGCCCTAGATGCCCCAGCTGCCGGGCCCCCGCCGCGGTCAGGAATTCACACAAAATGGCGGCACAGCCGGGACTAGCACAGAGGCTGAAGCTGGAGGAAGGGCGTGGAGGGAGGGGGTAACTGAGAGGCCGAAGAAGCGTCACGTGGAGAGGAGCAGAGCCAGCCCGCCCGAAAGAAGGCGGAAAGAACCGAAGCGGAAGGGAGAGGCGGAAAGAGCCGAATGCAGCTGAAAAAAACCCGAGAGGCTGGAATGAGCCGGAAAGAGCCGAAGGATGATCTAGGTCACTGAAGGAACGTGAAGCGGATCGGAGACCCACCTAAAGAACCAAGGGTGGTCGTGGGGGTGGGACTAGAGAAAGCACCGTGAGCCGGAAATAGCCGAAACGCTTCGGGATTGGAGAAACCCGAGGACTAGCGATAATCCGGAAAGAGCCGAAGTCAGTGAAGAGATCGCGGCAAGAGGCGGAAGTAGCTGAAATAAATCGAGCTGAGCGAATAGGAATTAGCGAATGAGCTGCACGGGTGGGGCTGGAAAGACGATTAATTAACTCAAAGAATAAATGACTTTCAGGAGCTCGCCCCAGAGCAAGCGAGAAGAACCGAAAATTGCTAGTTTGAAGGAAGGCGGGAAAAGCCAAAAGTTTTAGGTGGGAGAATGGGAGGGAAAAAAATTTAACCGAAAGCCGGAGACCGGTCCCAGGAGCCGGACGTTTCCGAAGAGGGGCAGGAGCAGAGGCGGTCCGGAGATGACGTCACTACATAACTCAGTTGGTGACGTCATCCCTGGGGCGAAAAGGGCGGGGCCTGACTGTGCGGGCGTAGTGAAAATCGTCTAGGTTTTTTAAACCACGAACGAAATCTTTTGACCCTCACCACCTTCCCAAGCTGATGGTCTTCGTTTATAAATGGAGGCTGAAACCGAAGGCTGAAGGCTCAATTGGTTTAAGATCATAGGTTTGGGGCCAGGATCTGGGAAAGAAGCTCAGTTGGCAGTGCTTGGTTCTAAGCATACATTGCCAGCACCAGGTAGAATCAATCGCGATGTCCCCGCAGCACTCAGGGGAAAGGAGTGGGGCAGTGGAGACGGGGAACAGAAAAATGTGAAATCCAAGGTCATCCTGGCTCGCGTGACGGAAGGAGAGGAACGGCTCCAGAAAGATACCTTGTCCTCAAACCTCAGGCGCGGGCTCACACACTAAATAATTTTAAAAGTTGTTCAGTTCTTTTTGTTTGTTTTTTCGTTTTTTTCGAGACAAGGTTTCTCTGTACCTTTGGTGCCCGTCCTGGAACTAGCTTTTGTAGGCCAGGCTGGCCTCGAACTCAAAGATATCCGCCTGCCTTTGCCTCCCGAGTGCTGGGATTAAAGGCATGCACCACCACCGCCAGGCTAGATTGTTCAATTCTATTTGCACCCAGAGATCTACATTTTCATTACTTCTTTCTACCGTGCTACTTTCTGTGACAAAAGATGGGCACAGCATCATGGAGTTTAGTAATGGAAATTGTGCCCTTAAGGGAGAGAAAGTGGAAGCAAGAATAATGACGACAGGGACAGGAAGAAGAGAAAGCTCCGAAGGAAAGAAATAGATCTTTTACCCCCTTTTGAAGCAGGTATCCCTTTTGTTCTCAAAAGGGAGAGAAAAGTGTACGAAGATAGGGGCTTTGTAATGAAAGAAAACAAAATTCATAGCTCATCCGAGATGTATGTTGGGGTTGGTGGTGACATAAAATTAGTTCTGAGAAACTAATGAGCCACTCATTTGAGACTGCTTGCTAAGGGCTTTTTGATCTTTAACCAAAGTTTCTGTCGGTATTCAATCCCTAATTTAATTTCTTTTTATTTTATGTGTCTTGGTGTTTGCCTAAATGTATGTCTGTGCACCATGTATATCAGTGCCAGAAGAGGGCCAGGTCTCCTGGGACTGGAGGGAGTCACAGCCAGGTGTAAGCTGACATGTGGGTGCTGGGAATTGAACTCAGGTCCTCTGAAATGGCTCTTAATGGCTGAGCCATCTCTCCAGGCCCCGATCTAATTTCTTTGGGTGCAATCCAAACTCTTGTATTTGCTACACAAATTCTCTGAGACACCCAGACACAGTTCCTAATCTAATAGAAGCTATACCCCCAACACACAGGGTCTCACTATGTACCTCCCTATGTAGAGGTGGGTGGCCTCAAACTCCCAGAGATCCACCAGCATCTGGAGTTGAAATTAGCCACAACTCAACTTATTCCCTTATATGCAATGTCCCTAAGGGCAGATCTTTTGACCTGCTCATAACTAAATTATCTAAAAATATCTTTATAAACTGACCATGGTAGATAACACCTGTAATCCCAACACTTTGGGGGGAGAGGAGTGGGAGGGTTTTTTGTTTTGTTTTTGAGACAGGGTTTCTCTTTAACTTTGGAGCTTGTCCTGGACCTCACATGGTAGACCAGGCTGGTCTCTAACTCACAGAGATCCCCCTGTCTCTGTCTCCTGAGTACTGGGAATAAAAGGTATGCACCACCATTGCTCAGCAATCCCAGCACTTCTGAAGCTGAGACAGGAAGATCACCTTGGATTTGAGGCCAACCCAGGCTACATGGTAAGTTCCAAGATAACCTAAACTACCGAGTAAGACCCTATCTCAAATCAGAAAAAAAAAAAAAACTTCCCACAAAACAAGGGAAAAAATCTAAAAAGCAAATAATAAGCTTGCAGTGGTGGCGTAAGCCTTTGATCCCAGCACTTGGGAGGCAGAGGCAGGTAGATCTCTATGAGTTCAAGGCTAATCTGGCATACATAGCAAGGCCCTGTCTCAAAAAAAAAAAACCAAATAGAAGAAAAAAAAATAATAACAATAAGCAAAGAAGGAAGAAGAGAAAAGAAAAAAGAACTCCACAGCAGGTAACATGGCAAACAAGTACTTGAAGACCTGATTTTGATCCCCTGAGCCACCACAAAAATAATGCAATCCTGTGGTATGCATCTGTAATCTTTGTACTCTATAGCACACAGAAGGCAGAGGCAGTAGAGTTGTCCTGGATCTCCTGGGCCAAAAGACATTTTAGTAAGGTAAAAGGAGAGAAACTGCTTGTAGGGAGTAGAAGAAGCACTGAGTGAATGAGGTTCTGGATGTGTTGTTGGCACGACCATGTCAAGAACCCCAAAGCCTCAAACCCTTCTTTCCTGGTCCTTGTGAATATTAATAATGTGTACAGAAAATGTCCACCATATGCCATGTGGTGGTGGCATACGCCTTTAATCCCAGCATCTGGGAGACACAGGCAGGCAGATCTCTGTGAGTTCAAGGCCAGCCTGGCCTACAGAGTGAGTTCCAGGACAGCCAGGACTGTTTCACAGAGAAACTCTGTCTTGGGGAAAAAGAAAGAAAGAAAGAAAGAAAGAAAGAAAGAAAGAAAGAAAGAAA